AGGTAAAATATATCCACAATATCTCACTCATATATGAGTTTAGTAATCCTGTCTAAAATGGAAATGAGGTTAATTTGGAATGATTTTTTTTTAATGAAGTCATACTGGTCCTTCATAATCATCCTTTTCCCTTTCCAGATGTTTGCCAACAAATGCCAACAATTTTTAATGATTTATCATAGAATTTTCCAAGGAACTGTAGTCAAGTTTATTGCCTTAAATAAGGGGCTTTACAGGCCCTACACTTCCCTCTTTTTTTAAAAATTGGGTCAACATTTGCCCTTCTCCATTCTTGCATTATCTTTCCTGTTTTCCATGATCTTTTAAATATTACTGACAGTGGCTCTATAATCACATCTGACAGTTCTTTCAGTACTTGAGGATATCATTCATCTGATCCTTGAATTCATCAAGGGCACCTAGGTGCTTTATTTTCTATCTCGTTATTTATTTGGGCCATCAATTCCCTGTTACTCATTTTTGTTCTGTCATTTCCAATGCAAAAGTTATTTTTCTTGGTAGAGAAAATAGAAGCATTTAGTTCTTGTCTTTAAGTTTCTTTCTTCTGCTTCCTCCTTGTAAAATGAAAACTAGAATAGATGATTCCTAGGACACCTCTAGCTCTGGGTGGCTGGATCGAAGTCCTAGAGGCAGGAGAAGAAAAGAATAAGGACACAGAAAGAGAAGAATTACCCTTAGTGAGGAGCAAAGAAACTCATGCCTCTGAGAAAGAAGGGAAGAAGGCTAGAATGGGCGATGATGCCTAAAAGCTGAGGATGAGAATCAAGAAAGCTCCCTTCAGGTGGCTAGAGTCTCCGTGAAATGGAACACTAGGCCAAAGGCTGTAACTGAGTGTAAGGGGGTACAAATGGGGCCTTGAGGAGTAAGAAAAACATTTGAAACAGCCACTGTGGGGAATTATTAAGAGCAGAGGAGAAGGAATGCCTAGCAGCAGGGAGGGTTTAGATGGTGTTATACACCATTTATGGAAAGAAGGCATTAAGTTTAGTGCAAGACATAAATAGAACTGTAGAAATTATTTCAGAATTTTGAATTAAGTAGAAAAAGGATAAATCTGCCCTTAATAACTTTTCCTGAAAAAGACTAAAGTACATGAAAATAAAAAGAACTTCCCTTCGTATACTATGCATTCAGACTTTGTTTTGCAGATGTTTTCTGGTTACCATAGCAGCTTCTGAATTTGTCTCTGTATAAATGGGAAGTTGGTAACCTAGTTTGAAAAACTGATCAGTATGTTTTTTTATCCCAGTAAGCTCATTCTGCACTTACACAAATTGCATTTTGACAACTAGGTTGTCATCCAAAGCATAGCTTTTTGTCTTACTAAGGGTCTTAATGATAAAATATTCCAAAGGAATGAGAATTGCTTTTTAGCTATGTTTTAAAATATCTTTCACAGTATCCAGAAGAGATGACTGCAGTTCTCGATATGTAAGCTTTTTAAGAATCCAGAAACTTGACCTCACTTGACAAATATAACATGAAGTATCAATTCTGAGTATTATATTCACACAAATAGCAAGCTACAAAGTCTAAGACTTGAGAGATATCAGATCAGCATTGAAGAAATTAGGTCCCACGGTAAGAAAAAAATTAGAAAAACTAGAACATATTAACCACTGCCTTGGTACTGGTCTTCAGTCTCCTGAGTTCTATAACATCACTAGAAAAATATTAGTCACTGATGGAAAACGTCTTTGGATATTTTGGGTGGGGATTGAATTTCAGTAATTAGGGTTGTAAATGTATACATACAAGTAAATTTGGGTTCTTGTGTCCCTTTATATCATAAAAGGATGAAATCAAGTAACTTACAAGTAGAAAACAGACATTGTCAATCAGAGTATTTGAAACTCTACCACTATTATGGTCTGTCTTCAAGCTGTGGTACTCTTATCTCCAAAAGATTAAACATATGAATCATTTAGAGGACAGTGGAAAATTGCATGATGGGGGTGAGTTGGTTCTACCACATTACAAATGAGGACTTCTGAAGAAGAAATGGAATAAAAGAAGTAGTCTACAAAATGTGTGAAGAAAATGAAGATGGGTTCAAGGATATAACTGATGGCCAGTCCAGGTCATGTGCTGCTCTGGTATCCTCACAGCATTAACAAAAAGTGAAGAAAGTTCCCAGCACATCATGAGAACAGCATGTGGCAAACTGATGAGCAGTCAGAGACAAGAACTGTGGGCAGTATGGATGGGATGTTGGCAGAGGGAATAAATACCCACATCAATGAGATGTATCCCAGATCTATCTAAATGTGATTATATAATAAAATAGAGGAACTCTTCAAAAAGAATTCAAGATATAGAAACTTAATCCTTGAGGAGGTGGCCTAAGTCTCTCCAAATCTGGCTGAGCTAGGATGTCATTATAGAACAGGAAATTGGTGGCTACAGATCTGCTTCCATAGAAGTAAAGTGCCAGTGACATTGGTTTGGGGCTTTTCTCACATGCTACCGATCATCAGGAAAAGGAAGGATGGAAAACAGGGAGGAAGACAGGGAGGGAGGAAGACAGGGAGGAAGGAAGAAAGGAAGGAAAGGAAGGAAAGGAAGGAGGGAGGAAGGAAGAGAAGGAGAACAGAAGAAGAAAAGGGAGGAAAAAAACTAAAGAAGAGTGATAGGGAGGCAACAAGCATATATTATAGCCAAGTACTGTGCTAAGCATTTTACAAATATTTGACCCACACAACCCAGGAAGGTAAGTATTATTATTATCCCCATTTTACAGATGAGGAAATCAAGACAAAAAGAAGTGACTTTTTGAATTTACACAGCTAGTAAGTGTCTCAAAGCAGGATCTGAAGTCAGGTCTTCCTGACTCTAAGCCCAGTGTGCTAGCCACTGATTACCCATGTAGATGAAGCGATATCAAAATGCTGAAGCCCTGCTTATTACATAGAGCAGAGTAGAGGGCTTGCTAACCATTTATGAGACAGGAGCTACCAAAAGAGCCATCAAATATTTCTGAATATGAATGAATGAATGAGTAAAGTATTTATTAAGCATTCACTATGTGCAAAATACTGAGGATACAACTAGAAAAGAGAGATAGCTTCTGCTCTCAAGGGACTTCCATTCTAATTAGAATATAAATGAGAACCACACATATGGAAGGTTTCAGCTGTGAGTCAGATGGAAAAGTCCCATGATCATTTGGCTACAGCTGCAAAGCAGATGGTGATATCTTTTCTTTAGTGACATTTCCACTGATAAAATCCTATCAGTTTACAACGTAGAACCATTTAACAGTGCCAAGGACATTGGTCAAAAGAACTTTCTTTCCTGGGTCTTTGGTAGCTGTGACTGCAGCACCTGTAGGAGCAGCGGCCAGGCTGCATCTCCACAGGGTTCCCAGGATGATGGATGAGGGCACTGTGCCAGTTGCCCCAAGACTCTTGGGTTCAGGGTGCTGGGCTATCTGCATCAGGGACTGATGGTGGCCAAGGTGGTGGCAGTGGTATGACTTGCCTGGCCCATGCTGCCTCTTGTCTCTTTTTCAGTGTCCTCTGGTGCTTCAGGAAGGCTGGCATGCCCTAGGATGGCAGTTGGTTGGCAGTTGGGGATGTCTGGCCCCTTTTCTACAGGAGTTACTTCCCTGGATGATGGTTGTGAGGGCTGGTGTAGTGTGGCCACTCCCAGTGTGAATATGCAGTCACTTCAGCTCCTTTAGGTTATCTACCATACTGGCACAGAGTCTGGGCTGTATAATTACATGCCAAGATGATGAGTCCTAAAGTACATTGTTCCTTGAAATCATATCATTCTTTCCTTTATTGTGGGTTTTGTGTGCCTTACTTAAGATCCTGAGCTTTGATCATTAGTTCAAAATAAATTTGACTTGCCTTTGCCTCTTTAAAATTAGGTTCCTTCTGTAGAGCCCCTTGGTCGATAAGTGTCATCTTGCATTAACATAATCACTAGCAGGCTATGGTTTGTGATGGGGAAAGGCTCGGGGTCTCCTGTACGAGTTAAAGCAAGAGGAGGGCCCACTTTTATAGTTCTAAAGTTTTATGACTCTGACTTCATCACTCTACATGGGAACAGGTGGAAAGAGAATGAAGAGAATTGACTGTGACATGGGGACAGCACCACCCTTTTGGGTTTTTCAGGGCATTTGTGAACTTCTCCCTTCTTCTGTTCCATATTCTAAGTTCTGATAAAAGCTGCATTCTATATCCCACAAGCTGCTTCTTGTTAAGCTGCATAGGGAGGGATCAGATTTAAAGGGCAGGAAACCCCTTTAAGCCATGTGCTCTAATTAATGTCTTGATTAGGTTCAACTGACAATAATAACATCACTGACAATCAAACTGGCAAGACAAAGCAGTAAGAAAAGACAAGTGGAGAAGCAAGACCCATTCATTTTGAAAATCAAAACTATAAATGTTTCCTACAACCAAAATTAAGAAATAAACTCATTGTTTCTTAAGCCTTTCTAATATAAGATTAAAAAGTTCAGAATATATAAATATGCTTCTTCAAAAATTCTAGCTGAGAGTCAATTAGAACAGTAACATAACAGTAATTTCCAACTTTTGGTAAAATATTACCCAATATGATTTTTGGATTGGTGCTGATAAAATTCTACTTTCAACTTTCGTGGCAGTGGTGATGACTTTGATAGAAAGCACAGAAAACAACCTTCCTCACCTTGTTCCCTGTCCTTGTTCTGCAGAACTAGATTCCAAAGTAAAATTCCGGGATACTTTAATATAGTGTTTTAGCAAATAAACTCTCAGTGTTCTACCAATACAGAAGCAATATGGTCATGTGGAAAGAGGACAGCACTCAAAGCCCAGGCTCTTAGATTCATATCTTGGCTTTGATATTTAGTGGATAGAAACCTTAGGAAAGACACAACCTCTCTGACTTTAATATTCTTATTTGAAAAATGAGGATGTTAAACAAGACTATTTCTAACTACTCCATCCCCCCACTACTGCTTCAAAATACAATAATATCCCTACCTCTGCAATCATTCTGTTGGTATCTCCTAAGAAGAGCAGATTCAAAGCTTCTTCCTCAGTGGTTGCCTGCTGAAGAGATAGATTTTTCAGGTGAATGTTCTGATCAGGGTCCTCCAATATTGTCACCTTCCTAAGGAACAAATAAGGAGTCAGTGAGACACATAACTGCAGTTCACTAAAGAAAAACCTGATGCCAAACTGCAGCTGTCAAACATTCTGCAACATTAAGGTGGTATGTACTCAATCAAGGTTGAGCAATAAAAAGATGGTGATTTTACCAAACTGCATATACTTAAGGGTTTCCCTTAGCTACATAATCAAATAGATTTGTGAATGAAAATCCTATTACCAAGCAAAAGATCTCCTAAATTTACAATATATTGTATTTATCATAGTTACCTGAAAAAATGCATATACTGGTAGAGTTAAACAATTAAGCAACTACTGATGGGCAATATTCTCAAAATTCAAGCTCCAAGTCAAAGATTTAATAGTTTTTTAAGAAGAGGCTCATAGCTTCTAAGGTATTACCTCCAGGACAAAATATAAAGTCTTCTCTGGCATTGAAAACTCTTTCTAACCTGTCCTCTTTCTACTTTTTCAATCTTCTTACACTTTATTCCCCTCCTCACACTCTACAGTCCAGCTACACTAGTCATTCACTGTTCTTCCAAACCAACACTTCATCTCCCATATCTGCACCCTTGCACCAACTGTCCCTCAAGCCTTTATTACTCTCTCTTCTTACAGATGCCTTTCAGTTTCCCTGGCTTCAGGTTTTAGCACAAATCTCACCTTCAATAGGAGGCCTTTCCCAGTTCCTTCTAGTTGGAAGTGTCTTTTCCTTGGAGAATTTCTATCTACTCTGTATAAATCTTGTCAAGTACATAGTTATTTATATGTTGTTTCCATTAGAATGGAAGAACCCTGAAGGTACAGACTATGTTTTTGCCTTACTTTGTACTCCCAGGGCATAGCAAAGTGCCTGGTATTTTAACAAATGCTTTTAATTGATTGACTGAAGAGAATGATTTATCCATTAGCATTACTTTAATCAGATACCTTGTTAAGTGATATATTGAACTCTTTACCATCATGAGTATTGTGCTCAGATCTCTAATACCATCTCCTCCATATCTTACCTTCTTCAAGAAAATTATCAAAACCAACTAACATAAGTGTCACCAGCAATCATCACCTCTGTGTCTCAGTTTTATAAATATATTCATCTTCCTATTCACATACTGCTGAATGGAGCTGAGGAAATCATGAAACTAAGTAGACTGGGTTCAATATAAGTTTATGTTATCTAATCTCAAATGAATCTTCACTGCAGCAAGGTAATCTCAATTTTCCCCAATTGATTCACTATCCTACTCTCCACAGCATCTCTCCTTCTCTCAGTTGAGGACTTCACCTCATATTCTAGGGCATTTCCCTAGAACTCCCTCTTTTCCCCCCACCCTTTATCATACATCACTCAGATATCTTCCACCACCATGTAATTTTTCAGTCCTGTCTTGGACGAAAAGGTAGACTTCTCTTTGTTATGGCCATTCCCTCTACATGCACCCTTGATTCCACCCCCTTTCATTTTCTAGAGCTCATCATGCCCACTACCATCCCCATCCTTTCTCTAACATTCAATCTCTTCCTATCTACTGGCTCCTTTCATGATGCCTTCAGTTGTGTCCATGTTTCTTCAACATTTGTTTGTTTAAGAAGCCTTCTCTTGACCCACCTATTGCTGCTAGCTATCATCCTATATATCCCCCACACTTCTTGGCTAAACTCCTCAAGAAAGTCATCCACACTAGATTCCTCTACTGGCTCTATTCTAAACTCTCTGCAATCTGCTTCAGCTCTCATCATTCAACTGAAAATGCTCTTTTCAAAGTTACCAATATAAGATTCCTTAATGACAAATCTAATGTGTTTTCTTGATTCTCAACCCTCTTGACCTCTCTGCAGCATTTGATACAGTTGATCACTTTCTCTTCCTAGATGCTTTCTTCCCTCTAGGTTTTCATGACACTATTCTCTTATCTTTCTCTTTGTATGTATTTGACCATTTTCCCTCAGATTTCTTTGTTTAATCTTCATCCATATCACGCCCACTAATAGTATGTGTCTCCCAAGGCACAGTCCTAATATCACTTCTCTTTTCTTTCTATATTGTGCATTTTACCTCGTAATCTTGTAAATTCCCATGAGTTCAATCATAATCTCTATGAGGATGATCTCAGATTTATAAGGCAGCTAGGTGGATGGGGTAATGGGCCTAGAGTTAGAACTGAGTTCAAATCCAACCTCAGATCATCACTAGCTATTACTATTATTATTTACTAGACCCTGGATAAGTCACTTCATCTCTGTCTGCCTCAGTTTCCTCAACTCTAAAAGGAAGATCATAATAGTACCTACTCCATAGGGTTGTTGTAAGGATCAAATGAGATATTTATAAAGCACTTAGCATAATGCCTGTCACGTAGTAGGTGCTTAATCAATTATTTTTCTTATTTATCTAGTTCCAATTGCTTTCCTGACTTCCACTCTCATATCACCAACTGCCTATTTGATACTACAAACCAAATATCTCATAGGTATCTCCAACTCAACATATCCAGAACATAACATTATCTTTCCCCCCATACAAAACACTTTTCACACAAATAAAGTCAGATCTAAATAATTGGAAAAACATCAGTTGCTCATGGGTAGGCTGAGCTAATACAATAAAAATGACATTTCTACCTAAGCTAATCTACTTATTCAGTGCCATACCAATCAAACTACCAAAAATTACTCTGTAGAATTAGAAAAAATAATAAGAAGATTCATTTGGAATAACAAAAAGTCCAGAATATCAAGGGAACTAATGAAAAGAAATGTAATGGAAGGTGGCCTAGCCATTCCAGATCTTAAATTGTATTATAAAGCAGCAATCATCCAAACTTCTTGGTACTGGCTAAGAAATAGAGTGGTGGATCAGTGGAATAGGTTATGTGTGCAAGAGACAGTAGTCAATGACTATAGTAATCTATTATTTGATAAACCCAAAGACACCAGCTTCTGGGATAAGAACTCACTCTTTGACAAAAAATGCTGAGAAAACTGGAAAAGAGTATGACAGAAACCAGGCATAGATCAAAATCTCACACCCTATACCAAAATAAAGTCAAAATGGGTTCATGATTTAGATATGAAAGCTGATACTGTAAGCAAACTGGGAGAACAAGGAATAGTCTACCTATCAGATTTATGGAGAACAGAAGAATTCATAACCAATCATGAGTTAGAGAACATTATGAAAAGCAAAATGGATAACTTTGATTATATTAAATTGAAAGTTTTTGCACAAACAAAACCAATGCAACCAAGATTTAAAGGAAAGTAGAAAATTGGGAAAGAATTTTTACAACCAGTCTCTCTGATAAGGGCCTAATTCCTAAAATATATAGAGAATTAGGTCAAATTTATAAGAATACAAGTCATTCCCCAGTTGATAAATGGTCAAAGGATATGAACATGCATTTCTCAGATGAAGAAATTAAAACCATCTATAGTCATATGAAAAAATGCTCTAAATCAGTATTGATTACAGAAATACAAATCAAAACAACTGTGAGGCACCACATCACACCTTTCAGATTGGCCAACATGACAAAACAGGAAAATGATAAATGTTGGAGAAGATGTGGGAAAATTGGAACACTAATGCATTGTTGGTGGAGTTGCGAAACGATACAACCATTTTGGAGAGCAATGTGGAACCATGACCAAAGGGCTATAAAAATGTGCATACCTTTTGACCCAGCAATACTTCTAGGGCTATATCCCAGAGGGATCACACAAATGGGAAAAGCAGCTACATGTACAAAAATATTTATAGCAGTTCTTTCTGTGGTGGCAATGAATTGGAAATTGAGAGGATGTCTATCAATTGGAGGAATGACTGAATAAGTTGTGGTATATGAATGTAATGGAATACTATCATGCTATAGAAAATGATGAACAGGTTGACTCAGAAAAACCTGGAAAGATTTGTATGGTCTGATGCTGAGTGAAATGAGCAGAACCAGGAGAACGTTATACACAGTAACAGCCACATTGTGCGATGACTAACATTGATAGACTTAACTCTTCTTAGCAATACAAGGATCTAAGAAATCTCCAAAGGCCTCATGATGGAAAATGCTCTCCACATCCAAAGAAAGAACTATGGAGTTTGAATGCAGATGGAAGCATACTATTTGCTCTTCTTTTTTTCTTCTGTTGTGTTTTGTTTCCTCTTTCTGGTGGTTCCTCCTATTGGTTCTAATTCTTACCTACAACATCACTAATGTGAAAATATGTTTAATAGGAATATACGTGTATAGCCCTTATCAGATTGTGCGCCATCTTGGGGAAGGAGGTGAGGAGGGAGAGGGAGAAAATTTTAAAACTCAAAAGCTTATAGAAGTGATTGTTGATAATTCAAAATAAATTAATTAAAATTTTTAAAAAAGAGAAAAAAAGAATCACAAGGATTAAGAAAATAAAAAAAATATCTCCCCCCCCCAAATTCTCCCATCTTCCCATCTTCCTAACTTCCCTTTTACTATCAAGGGCACCAGGTTTACAACCTAAGTATCATCTTTGATCTTCATTCTCTTACCCCCTCCATGTCCAACATTTTGCCAAGTCCTGTTCATTCTACTTTCATAATATCTCTCATATATGCTCCAGGCCCTCATCACTGCAAACTTGGCCTATTGCAATAGCCTTCTGATTGGTCTCCCTGCCTCAAGTCCTCCACTTAGCTGTCAAATTGATCTTAAAATGTTAATCTCACCATCACACCTCCCCTGATCCCATTCAGTAAACTCCAATCACTCCCTATAACCTCCAACATGAATATAAAATCTTTTGGCATTAGAAGTCCTTCACAACTTGGTCCCCTCCTGTCTTTCCAGTCTTCTTGTATCTTACCAACTCCCATATACTCTTTGATCTAGTAACACTGGTAACCTTGCTATTCCTTGAGCAAGACATTCTATCTCCTAAATCTATACATTTTCACTGGGTGTCCCCATGCCTGGAATTCTCTCCCTCTTCATCTCTGTCTCTTTCCCTTTTAGGCTTCTTAAA